TATGAAGTATCAATTACAAGGTCACTATTTTTTTAGATCATGCGGGCCGGAATGCATCACTATGCCAGCTTCCTTCAACACGAAAATATATGGGCAAAATATTTATATAGGCAAAGAAGAAAATATATATGCAAAATAGTTTAAAAACTTCAAATTTTCATGCGATGTAAGATAAGTACCACAAACTTGCATATACATATATACACCAAAATTTTATATTAAAAATAATTTTCGCATTATGATTGTATGTTTGTTACAAATACAAAATTACTGGAATAATTACATAATTTAAAAAACTCTAAGCATTGTTAGAGTGCAACTATCATTCTAAAATTTCATTTGTGAAATAAATTATATTAGTGCAGTACAATTTAATTTTAATTGCATCCTCACAAATATTTTGCTTAACACCATAAAATTACATCTGTGAAAAAATATATGATTATAGTGCTAATATAGTTTTTAATACATAGTATAAAGCTTGAGGGATATGTATTACATGCGCAAATTTGATGTATTTATCTCTCACCCCTTCAAAGTTTAGAATATTTAAATTACTTTATACAAAATATACTCTCATTATTAGTGTAATAAAATCATAATCTTATCCATCATTTTTGTTCTCATCATAAGTATGTCATTGACTCGTTTCATTAAAATTTGTTCTAGTAAATTTTAATCGACAAGATATAAAAAAAAATGTTTACGCTATATGTACAACTCTAAACTAGCTACTAAACTCACTCAAATATTCAATTCTAATTCATGGAAGAAAATTATTTAAACTCATTAATAATGGAATGACCAAAACTCTTCATATGGCATCAAAAGAATTCACAAAAGCTAACATATACACAACGTACGAGTGTTGAATTGTGGAAAAGCGTACATACCGGTGGACCTAGCTCAACTGGTAGCAAGAGAGTGCCACAAGGGTTAGGTCCTGAGTTCGAATCCCGGCAACTGCGATGAGAAGTTACTATGCTAAAAATGCATAGGGTCTGTGCAAGTACCGGGGACAGAACCCTACTCTATCTGTCAGATTGTGATTATAGTCTAATTTACATCCTCCCAATGTATCGTCCGGTCAGGGTTGGGGGGTCTTCGGGGATGGGGTGTCATCCTTTTTGCGGAAAAGCGTACATGACAAAAAAAGTAACTTTACCTGTCCGTTTCTCGGGTACAACGCCAAAAGAAAAGCAAACCAATAAACGTTGCTCCGTACAACATGCAAGAACGTGGCATGTGTAATGTCGGTAAAATATACTACCTCCGTCCTAGTGGACTTTGCCAAGTGCAAAGTAGGTGAGAAATAAGAAAAGTAAAAACTATGTGGTTAAAATTTGTGCAGAGGAGAGAGAAATGTGCAGAACCACAAATTAGTTGCTTTAATTGGAAAGTAACAAAGTTTTTTTGGGACAACAAAAAAAGGGAAAGCTGGCAAAGCCCAATGGGACGGAGAGAGTATTATACAGTCGGTTGTACCGTGTACACGGTACAGTCGAGCTTTTTTAGGCTTCTGCGCTTCTTGGCTTCGCACCGGACTTCTCCGATCTGGCTTCGCTCTGGACTTCGCACCTGCTTCTTCTATCTCGCTTGGCTTCTTCAATTTGATTAAGGACCAGGCAGACTGCTCCTCATTGCCACACTCTTCTCCTCAAGCACGAACGTCCTCTTGCTGCGCAAGAGACAGCGGCTACTCAGGATCTTCTTTGTTGGCCGGTGCTGCAAGAAGAAGAAGTATATAGAGACGACATATTGACCGGTGGTTTAGGAGATTGAGTTTGAGTTCGATATATTGCTTAATGGAGTCATACTTCTTTGTTGACGAATCTCGAATGAGTTTATATTAAACTCAAATGAGTACACGCTTAAAAGGAATGATCATACACAAATGAATATTGAGCATATTAGAAATGAGTTTTAAGTTAAAATGAATAAACTTACACAAATGAGATTTTGAATTGTTGTATACTCATTTTGTAAGTTATGTATGTTCATTTGGTACTGCTTCATGATCATTTTAAAATATTGTATATTTTATGTATCATACTACATTAGATTCACATATTGAAATTAATTGGAATTGAGTATAGACATAATTTAAAATCTTTTTATAAACGAAAATAAAAGTGAACTAGAAGATATCATGTAGCATATGCTCATTCTTAGGCTCTTAATACTCCAAAGAACATGCTTGATGTTCAACAAAATTGCGTTAATGCTCATTCAAGAGAAGTCGTGTTTTCACCAAAATTACAAAATTGCCACCGGCTGTACGGCTGGCACCATACAACCGGTTGTATGATATAGGCTTCCGTGTAATGTCTTGAAACCCACGGTTAAAGATAAATTTATACTACCTACATTCTAGGGATTAGTAATGATGTTTTTATCTGGATTGAACCTTTCAGGTCTGGTCGATCTGGTCTAGTCTGAATTTGTTAAATGTCTAGTCTCTGTGTATGTTATAACTGTCTAAATCTAATGTAATCTGATTTGGTCTGGTCTGATTTGTTTTAGGCTAGTCTGAAATTGAAAACCGTCCGAGTAAAAACATTCTAAAATGTTCGTGTGAAATATTTTCAATTACCATTTGTGAATATGGTGAAACTTGGTTCGTCATCCAAATTGCACCGAGTGTTATCTTATCTTTACATACTATCTTTGTCCCAAATTGTTTTGCAAAGTCAACATTTTTTGGTTAACCAATGTTAAAGTTAAATCACCCTTATTGATAATTAATTCAATTTTAATAATTAAAATTTACATATTTAGAAACTTCCTTAAAATATTTATAAAAATGAAAAATCCTAATTAAAATATAATTCAGAATTGATATCCTAATTAAATGCTTTAAACGAGTCAATTTGACCCAAAAACTCAAATTTGCAATTCAATTTGGGACGGAGGGAGTATATGGAGTCACCACATTTCTTAATGGATAAAAAATTAAACTGTCCATAAATTTTAAATTACAATCACCACATAATATATATAAGTAATATGTATGAATATTTAAAATTTTCAAAAAACGTGTGTGATGTTTTTTTTCTTTTTGAGAAAACTGTCAAATAGGCCCCCGTACTCTTACCACTTCGTCAATTAATCCCTCGCACTCCGAAATCACCCAATTACACCCTTTCACTCCTAAAAAACACCCAATCGGGCTTTTTAGCCGGTTACCAGCAGGTCAGCCTGTTACCCGCTGACCTGGAAGTATACGTGGCACCAAACTACCTGGCCACTTATCCTACGTGTCAACCCGCTAAAACGAAACCCGAAATCCAACCCCAAAAGCATAACAACCCAATCCCTAACCCTTCTTCACCGTTCTTGAGCTTCCCCTCTGTGCGATACGTAAGTCTGTGAAGAACCATGTCATGTTTATCGAGCTCAGCGGGTAGCAAAGAACGAAGCCGTACGATGGATTACGAGCCTCCTGTGTATTGTTGGTGTGGATTGAAAGCCCCTCTTTGTGTTGGACGCGAGACAGGAAGAATGTTTTTCGGATGTCAAAAATGGAAGGCAATTCACTGATTTGGTAGTGTTGTGTTCAAATACAGTGTGTAACACATTGTTTTCGGTGGAAGAAATATATATTCACATTAACTACAACAATGGTGGTGTTTTATGAGGGTGTACGCACAGGTTGGTAGTTGTGACTATTTTTTATGGAAGGAAGATGCTGCAAGAAATGATCTGATTAGGCCTGGACTCAATGAACCCAAATGTGAGGCCTGTAGATCAGAATGAAGTCTTAGATGAAGTGAAAATAGTCAAAATACTAGTTCAAGGCCTTGTCCTACAATTGCGACATGTAGAGGAAGAGAGCTTGGTGCTGTTAAAGCTACGGTTGATGATGAGGCAAAGGTCAACAAAAAGAATAGGAATCTGTGTGGTTTTGCTATGCTTGTACTTCTTCTTTTAGTAGGAAGTATGTATTTGAGGTTGTAATAAATATTTGTAATGGCAGAGATAGTAGGTTATGAAGTGGTTCTTGGTTACTTGGGTTGGATTGTTAAGTTTTAGCATTTTGTTTAGTGGTAAAATAATGGAAGCTCTCTTGAATATTCAGACTGATATTTGTGTCACTAAATTCATGCAATGGAAGCTTTGTTTTGTTCTTTTGATTGTTTAGTTTGTTATTGTTGTACTTGTGGCATCAATGTGTTATAGTTTTGTTCAAAATGAATATGTGTTTTCATTATGCATAATGCATGAATGTAGTGAAATGTTATGACTAAACAGGACAAGCTAGCATAATGCATTCATTCACAATATGTAGTAAACATGACAAGCTAGCATAATGCATTCATTCACAATATGTAAGCTTTAAAAGAGAACCATCACCTTAAAATTCATTCATTCATTCATTAATATCAAATAGAAAGAGCATGGCTTAAACCCAAATATAGACATTGTTTAGGTCCTGCATATATATTACACAAGCCAATGTTTGCCTCTAATTCCAAAATACAAAATATCAGTGCAGCCAAATACATCAAATTCACTTTGCAACATAGGGTATGGTTTCTTCAGTTTGAAAATTACAATAAGGACTTCAATAAACATCTTCCACATCAGGTCTTCTCCTAGTTCACCCCCTCCACATGTTCTCCAGACCTGCCTCCTCGCACCAGTGTTTCTCCAATCTGCCCCGGCTGCAATCACAGTTATATTCAGTCTCATTAGTTAATAAAAAATTCAAAAACCATCATTACACAATCAATTCCAAAAAACTTACATCTAAGATATTTACACCATTTTCCTCATTAAAATACACCCCATACCCCCTCTTTACTCTCCCCTTGCCCCTATTCCCTCTCCCCCTCCTACCTCTCACACATTCTTCATCCCCCCCCCCCCCTCATTCACCTCTCCCACCCCTTCTAGGTCTTCCCCCTTGTCACCACCCCTCCCTCTGGAACCTCTCCCCCCTCTGGCACCTCTCCCACTCCTCTCAGATGTCTTCCCTATCTCACTTGCACCTTCCCTACCCCCTGTATAAACTGTAGTAGGTATTTCTCCATGTGCACAAGACTTTCTGTTATGACCTTCCCCTTTACACTTTGAGCATGTCATGATTCTTCCCTTCCTCGGCATATGTGTTCCTCCTGTAGGTGCATGGGTTTCTGATTCCTCTCTCGCCCTTTTCTTCTTTGGTCTTCCACTCATTTTTTAGGTAAGGGAGGATGAATCTCTTCATACTGGTTTCTTGGCCACAACATCTCACCATTGATTGCATGCAGCGTCTAGGAGTAAGTTATCACATACATTTCTTTGGAGTAACATGAGTGCACGTATACTTCAGGGTCTTCTCCCTCATCCAGGATTGCACATATGGCATGACAACGAGGAATACCAGTCAGATCCCATCTTCTACATGCACATGTTCTTGCATTCAGACCGACCTTGAACTGAGACCTTCCTTTTTTAATTTTGTAGCCATCATCCCCATTAAAGTCAACATTCCAGCCTTGACTTGATAGTATGTTCTTGTTCAACTTTTTCATTATCAATGGTCCAAATGCACCTGATAACACAAAAGAAAAAAATGGTAAACAATAATGGTCATATTTGTCAATGAGTGGTAATAAGTGTTATGCAGGTTCCCCACCTGGCCACTTCTTCACATATTTCTTCTTTTTGGCTACTCTCTTCATCATAGCCACTCTCATACACTCAAGCATAGGGATCAATGGCTTGTCTCTGAACTGAACCAGTGTGCTATTGAAAGCCTCAAACAAGTTGTTATCAACACTGTCACGCTTCACATCAGTCTTAAAAAAGGCCTTGCACCAGAACTTCAGTGCATATTTGCGCAACTCTGTACCTGCTGCAACATCAACCTTGCCTAACTCACTTAACGAAGCCTGTAGTTGAGGTTCTGAGGTAGACTTAGCACACTGCCAAAATAGTTTCTTCAACACCATGCCTCTATGAGTTTTGCTCGAGTTCGCATGTATATGTCTAGCACAATTTCTGTGCTTAGCCTGAGGGAGAACACTCGCTATTACATTTGCCAGGCCCTACACAAAAAGTCATATTATTGTCAGTACATAAGAATAAGAACTTAATGAGTTTCTGAGTAACCAAAATAAGATTAAGGCATATTATTTAATACAACATTCAGAGTACAAAATATGTACTGACCTTCTGTTGATCACTGATAATGATCCTATCTGAAGGGTTAGTGATCTGCAAATCCTCCCTCAAATGCTCTAAAAACCAGGTCTAGGATGAATTGTTTTCAATTTCAACTATTGCCCATGCTACAGGGTACATCTGATTATTAGCATCTCTACCTACGGCACTCAAAATCTCTCCCTTCAACTGCCCCTTCAAGAAACAACCGTCCAAACCTAGTGCCTTCCTACACCCTGACAGAAAACCCTTCTTAACAGGCCCAAAACATACATAAATGCGTTGAAAAACCATAGGAGCTTCTTCCACAACTCGGTCACTCTTGATAACCACAGTGCTATCAAGAATTGACCTCAATATTTCATCAGCATAGTTTTTAAGTTTTCTAAATTGGTCCTTAAAAGAAGATAGAGTTTTTTCTTGAATTGCTCTCAAACTTCTAGTTGCCATACTGATGGAAATATTGATTTTTTGTTCATCTCTCACGAGGTTCTTCAACTCTACAGCACCCATTGAAGGATTCTCTATCACTTTATCCTCATATGTGTCTGACAACCACTTCTGACTCACTATTCTAAGTTTATACTTCAAGTTACACAAATGCTGTGAGACCCAAACCTTGAGTTGAAAACACTTCAACCTATTTTCCCAACTTCCAGTACAAGCAAAGGGACAATTAATGGCACATTTAAGCCTGACATGTACTCTATGTAGCTCATTTTTAACAAAAAAAATATCTCTTTTATGATAAACAACATATTTAATCAGAGCATTTTTGAATTGAGTACCGTCCTCAAAAAGCATCCCCACAACAAAATGGGGAGGATCAGATTCTGGGTTATAAGAAGCATTGTGGGCAGGTGGCTTTTTGGAACTCTTCTCATCTTCTTGCTCAGACTAGTAGCTACCAGGGTTGGATGAGTCATACTCTGTAGTTTGTTCCTCAGAATCACTGTTATGTCCTGTTGAAGTTTGTTCGGTATGAATAACCTCCATTTCCGCAGTTGCATTGGAAGTATGGTCTGCAGTGACTGGCACATCTCTCAGGCCATCATCTTCATGACCTCTTTCCTCAGTACCATCTGCACTTTCATTTCCACCTTCACCATGTTCTTCAAAATCACTATCAGAACCTGGAGCATCACTCCCAACATTTGTGTCATCATTGATTTCTTTTTCAGGAATTAGACCTTCCTCATCTTCATCATCAGTATACAATTTACCTTCTTCAACATCACCATGATGACCATAAGGTTCATGACCTTCAGCATTACCTTCATGACCTTCAGCATTACCTTCATGACCTTCTGGCTGTGATTCTTCCTGTGTTGTACCAATTGGTCCCGCTAATTCTACTTCTTCCACCAAAACAACCTCATCTATTGCGCGTGCTACATAAATCTCACATTTACCACAACTTCTGGCCAAATCAATAAGATGCAGAGCAGACCTATCATCAAAGAGCTCATGTAAGGACTCCAATGGGGCACTTCTTTTTTTATAGTATAGACCACTGATGTTGTCGTATTTCCCACTTTGTAAAAACTTCTTCAAATGAGGATAGCTTATCACGTCAGGATCAGCGGGTATAGAATCTATTGCTCCCCAACATACATTTTATGAGGCACAACAACCCCCCCCCCCCCTGGTGAATTATCAGTTCCACCGTCTCAAACATCCTATACACATTACAGATTAAAAACCAATTTTGATTTCAGATGTTCGCCCAAATGAAATACTAACCACTTCATCGCTTAGGGTTAATCGAGTACATAAATGAGTATGGGAAAGGGAATGAAACATATAAACCACTTTGGGAACGAGAGTGCAGTACATTATAAATACATACCTTACTGTTATTCACTGTGAGATTGAAATTCTTTTGTCCACGCTTGCTCATCAACTGGAGGGGAAGCTCAAGAACGGTGAAGAAGGGTTAGGGATTGGGTTGTTATGCTTTTGGGGTTGGATTTCGGGTTTGGTTTTAGCGGGTTGACACGCAGGATAAGTGGTCGGGTAGTTTAGTGCCATGTATACTTCCAAGTCAGCGGGTAACGGGCTGACTTGGTGGTAATCAGTTAAAAAGCCTGATTGGGTGTTTTTTAGGAGTGAAAGGGTGTAATTGGGTGATTGGGGAGTGCGAGTGCTTAATTGACGAAATGGTAAGAGTACGGGGGGCTATTTGACAGTTTTCTCTTTTCTTTTTTTAAAATGTTTGAATATATAATATTTTCAAAAAAATGTATGAATATATAATATGCATGAATCGAGTCTTCTTCTATTTTTCCGTTAAATTGAAGATTGATGTTAAATAAGAGAAAGTTCCCGAAATAGGACTAAAAAAGTTTCAAAATTCCAAAATAGATCTGTCATATTTTTTATTCCCAAAATAGGGCTAATTACTGTCATGTTTAGAAAATACTGTCATGTTTGAAGTCTGGTACTGCCAAAAATGGCAGTAATTAATCCTATTTGGGGAATAAAAATATGGCGGTCCTATTTTGGAATTTTCAAACTGTTTTAGTCCTATTTTAGGTAAAACCATGTTTTGGTTAGTTACAATGTTGCCAATTGAAATACAAGTTTGTTGTGGGGAATGTGAGAGATGTGTGTTAGTTCATTAGCAAGCCTCCTTTAAATAGGAGGAAATAGGGTTTACAAGGCATGGGCCAACGGGTCATATAATTAAATGCACACAAAACCCTAAATACACTTTCTATCTATAACGAATGCACATTAAAGGTAATTTCCTTCAACACTCCCCCTTGTGCTGAGTTGTAGATAGAATGTTGCACTCCCTGTTGCCTTGTGGAATCTTCGTCAAGTAACAAAAAAAAACCCTGTGGGAAAAATAAACCTTGACGAGAGATTAGAGTTTATTGGACTTCGTTCATTGAGTCCTTTTGGATTCTTTACTTTGATCGATACTCACAGTTACCTCGTTAAAAACCTTACCAAGTAACAAAACCCCAATGGGGAAAAAGTTAAAGCTTGGTTTAAGGAAAAGAGTATAACGTGAGGGTGTAAGACTCCCCCTGAAGTCTACACCTCCCCCTGATATTTACATTAATCAGGGGATTTCAGAAAACTTACGCATTCCAATGTTTTTCACATGTTTTTCGAATGTGGCCTTGGGCAATGACTTGGTAAACAAGTCTGCTACGTTTTCTTCCAAACTTATTTGATTTACTTGGATCTTGAGGAAGGCATGTTGTTGTTGATTATAGAAGAACTTAGGAGATATGTGTTTTATGTTGTCACCCTTGATGTATCCTAATTTCATTTGTTCGATACAGGCTGCATTATCCTCGTAGATGCAGGTTGGCTCTTCAGTGGTAGGCTTTAAACCACTAGTTCCTCGAATGTGTGCAATGATAGCTCTTAACCATATACACTCACGGACCGCCTCATGTAGAGCAATGATCTTTGAGTGGTTCGAGGAGGTAGCCACAAGGGTTTGCTTAGTTGATCTCCAGGATATCGCCGTGTTCCCAATTGTGAAAACATAGCCAGTTTGGGAACGGCCTTTGTGAGGGTCGGAGAGGTACCCAGCATCAGCAAAACCTACCAAGACATCATTTGGGGTTTCAGGGGGGGTGACCATTTTGTCCTTTGTGACCACAACTCCATTTGTGGTTTTCTTCGTCTCTCCGTAGGGAAAGAAAAGTCCCAAGTCACTGGTCCCTTTAAGATATCTAAAGATATTCTTGATACCGTTCCAATGACGCTGCGTAGGCGCAGAGCTAAATCTAGCTAACAAGTTCACTGAGAATGCTATATCGGGCCGAGTGCATTGTGCTAAGTACAATAATGCGCCTATTGCACTTAGGTATGGAATTTCAGCTCCTAATGCCTCCTCGTCATCTTCCTTTGGATGAAATGGATCCTTTTTAGGATCTAGACTTCGGCCCACCATGGGAGTGCTAGCAGGATGCGCTTTATCCATGTTAAATCGCCTGAGTACCTTTTGGATATACGCAGACTGGTGGATTAATACTCCACAAACTCGATGTTCTAATTCAAGGCCTAGACAAAATCGAGTTTTCCCAAGGTCTTTCATCTCAAACTCGGATTTCAAATAGCTTGCGGTTTCTCTTATTTCGTCAAGAGTGCCGATTATGTTCATGTCGTCGACATATACAGCTATGATTGCAAATCCGGAACTCGTTTTCTTTATGATTACGCAGGGGCAAAGCTCATCTTTCTTGTATCCCTTCCTAATCAAGTAGTCACTTAGGCGGGTATACCACATCCGCCCGGATTGTTTTAATCCGTAAAGTGAGCGTTTCAATTTTATTGCAAATGCACTCCGTGGTTTAGAGTCACTTGATTTAGGTAGTGAAAGTCCGTCGGGTACTTTCATATATATCTTTGAATCAAGATCCCCATAGAGATATGCAGTAACTACATCCATCAATTGCATTTCCAATCCTTCAGAAACTGCTAAGCTGACTAGGTATCAGAACGTGATAACGTCCATTACGGGAGAGTAGGTCTCCTCGTAGTCAATCCCAGGGCGTTGTGAGAAACCTTGCACCACTAGGCGAGCCTTATACCTTAAGACTTCATTCTTCTCATTACGCTTTCTGAAAAATACCCATTTATGTCCTACAAGCTTTACACTTGGTGGGGTTAGCACTACCAGACCAAATACCTGCCTTTTTGTCAGGGAATCTAATTCAACCTGGATTGCTTCTTTCCATTTAGGCCAATCAGCTCTTTGTTGGCATTCTGCCACAGAGCGAGGTTCGATATCATCATGCTCTATAATTTCTTGAGCAACTCTAAATGCAAATATATCATCGATGTGTATGGAAGATCTTTCCATTAGCACATGTGCATTTTCATAATCCATAGAGATTTCCTTGTTTTCTAGAATCATTTCGATCATCGGAGCGTCCTCCAGTAATGATTCATGGACATAACTATAATCGGAGATAATCTCATGGGATGGATGTTGTTCATCGATGAATAATGGATTAGGTTGTTTCGTACTCGTCCTCTTCTTCCTTGGATGAGTATCAATCGAACCGAGTGGTCTTCCTCTCTTCCTTTGAGGAGCCACGGCCTCAACCACACCTCCACTAAGTGTGGTTGCAGTGCCTCCTATTATGGCACTGTGCC